ACAAGAGAAAAAGGCATTTGAGTTTTGCATTTGCCTATTACTACAGAAGTCTCTTCTTCAATGTAAAGTAGCAAAATATTCACTTGCTGCTGTTCTAGTGGAATAGTCACGCTCCTGAAATCATGCTCTGCATTACGGTGTGGGGCTAGAAATTTTTTCTGCCTATTTGTCTTAAAAAGGGAAAAAAAAAAAAAGGAAAGAAGCCAGGGGAATTCTTGTGCAGTATCATCTTAGTCATCCTGCTCATGTGACCATGAGAGGGGAGAGGAAAGTTGTGGCAGAAGAGGGGAAACAGAAGGTGGTACTCAGGGGGTGGATGGAATGAAAGTCAGTAAAGCACTTGAAAAAATGTGATTTTGTTGGGAGGACTGACTGGCACGCAGTCCTAGCACAGTTGGATCCTCTTGGCTCACCTGTGAAATTCTTTGTGTGAGGGGGAGGGAAGAGATTATGAGGAGAGCTTTTTCTCACACAGCTGTGCTGCAGAAAGCATAGTATATAGCAAGGTATTTCTTTTTTTTTGCATAGCAGTTCTTAAACATTAAGAGTTTAGTTCAGAGGTGGATCAGACCATGTTTGGAAAAGACTTAGTTTCCTCTTTTATATTTATTTTTTGCAAATTTTTCTGGTTCTTTCTCTAATTTTAAATATAGTTCCACCACTTTCTTTGAGAGGTTAATCAAGGCTAGTTAGCACTTAATGCAAATGAGTCCTCCCTAATATTAAGCGCAAGTTTTTATCTCCTTCCTATCATCCTGTGTATCATGGCTTGATTTTAGTGTTCCACCCTCAGCACTGTCCCAAGTGTATGTGTACTTGCATGCATGCTGGGGAGACTGAGGTGCAGATTTCAGGGCTCTGTACCTTCCTGAACTTGTCTCCTGTACTTCTGTTGCTCTGTAGAATGGCTCAGAGCCACAGTTCATTGATCTAATTTAGAAAAAGAAATCCAAGTTTCTTCCACTGTCATTCTGGCTGTCTTCTGAGCTGCAGTAGTGGTCACTTTAAAAATACTGACACATGTTACTGTAACTTGCATCTGCAAGTGAATATGAGCATTTCTGTGCATGTCCTTACTTTGCCCTTCTTTTTTTTAAACTACATTCTCTACTTAAAGTGTTGAGTATTTATCTTTATTTTTTGGAACTGATGAATGTCATATCATTTTTCTTTATCACTGTAAGATGCTGAAAGCCAGCCTGACTTATTAGCCTGTCTTTTGCATTCTAAGTATGCCAGTGTTGTCAGGCCAAAATATGTTGTTATAGTCACAAAGGGAAAATAACTTCTAAACAGAGCTTTGTTCCTTTTCTTCTTGTATCTTGGCAGGCTAAACAGTGAGGTTGAACATGTTCAGTGTTACATATAAGATCTAATTAAGGCAAACTCTTCTAAAGGAGTAAGGCAACACAAATACTTCCCCCCCTTAATTATGGTTAGGAAACTTACCAAGTAGAAGAAGCCTCAGTGAAGGGAGTGTTTAAAAGAGGTTATGGATGTGGATGTGACTTGGCATCTGCTGAAGTTCAACCCATGTTGGGTGATAAATGTTGTCTCGAGGCAGAATGACATCCATGTTGCAAAGTAAAAGAGAGAGATGAAGATTGTGTCTATCCTTTGTACTTCTTGGCTTTATCTTCCCGCTTATCTTGGGCTGTAGCTCTAGTAATCTTTTTCCTCTCCACCCTTAACTTCATGCAGTGAAACTTGCCTAACCTGCCAAAGGAACAACCTGCTGGCTGTAATGTGGGCAGGTTGCGACTCTCCTTGAGAACTCTGGAACCTGCTGCTTTGGTTTTGGAATTTTCCCTTTTTTCCTTAATGATCACATGCATAGAGCTATCACAGCAGATGTGATGTTTGACCTACAGTAAAAGTCAAAGGTGCAGTCAGGGTGTCTTCCTGTTTATAGCTCAATAGCTTAGGCTGCTTCCTTTCAAATATGCAAAACTAAAACATGAAGGGATCACCACATTCCTCGCTGTGGTATGGATTCTGCTGTGGCTTTTAGAACATGGCAAAAGCACACACGTTGCAGGAATGAGAACTGCAAGCAGTTGGGGCAGCCAGTGACTGACAGCAAAGCCCACATCAGTGCGGAGCTGTACCCATGTTAGCAGACCCTGCCTTTTTGGCATACTTTACACTGCAAGCACAGTTGAACTGCTTTTGGGACTTGGAGGAGCCAGTGTGTGTTTGCCTGCACTAGGTCATGCCAGGCAGAGGTGCTAGGTTGGGCTGGCACTAACCTGGAGGTGCCAAGGGTTTTTCCTGTTAGTATGCTGTAGATGTGCCATCACACCCCTCTCAAGTAGAAGCCAGCTCCATCAAAACAAGCAGAGTTCAACAGGTGGACAAACAGCAGGAGGAAAGAACTTTGCCCTAAGGAAGCTGTTTTGCATAGGTAGCTGCTAAACAGGAGTTGTGCATACTTGTTAATGGTTGGAAAAGAGACTTTAAAAGAAAATGGGAAGAAAAGGTCAATGCATAGCAGTTTTTTGTTTGTTTGTTTTCTGGATGAATGTGATTTAGCTTGACTGATTTTGCTCTCTAGCTATCTGAAAAGTAACTGGCAAGTAGTTAGCTGTGCTTCAGCCGAGCTGCCAGAGGGTTAAGCAGTCAGGCCCTGTATGAGTGCCTAGAGTGCAGGGACAGACAGGCACAGCAAAAGCCTCTGTCCCTACTTTCAAGAGATGATTGAAACTGGAAAGCAGTCTTTACCAAAAAGAAATAATAAAAACATAGACAAACAATCCACCTTCCAGGTTTTGCTTTGCCTGTGCAGTTGAATATTTTGATTTTTTTTGTTCCAAGATGCTTTTTGAATTTTATCTTCTATCGTTGTGGACATGAACCCCTTGAACAAATAACTGTTTTCTTCTCCCGTACTCTTGTGTAAATACAGACAACTGCAGCTCATGCTGCTGTTTTATCAACCATGAAAGAAGCTCTAGCTAGCATGAGAAGTTAGATCAGTGTCATAGGGGAAAAAAACCCAACAAGATTAAAGAAAACGAGGCAGTAGAGTATCTAGAGATGCCTTCCTGCAGATTTTGTGAGATCAGTGAGGTAGCACTGGATTAATGTGGATAAATCAGTTGCTTTGGTGCCTGTGGTGCCAGAGCTACCAGAGGGCCAAGGCAGGGGAGTACACTCAGCACTCTGTATGCTGTGTCAGCATTCTGGGTTTTCTCTGGTTTCTTTCAAACCTAGAGAGAGCCAAATGCTCAGTCCTTCAGCATTCCTTCTCTTCCCAAATGGGTGATAAGCAGCGAAAGAGGTTAGAACAATTTCAGTAACGTTTGTTTCCATGATTGTGTGTCCTATGTGCTGGGCACATCTGCACATAGGTGTGACTGGCAGGTGTCACCGGTGTCCGTCCACCATTCGCGAGACCAATGAGAGTTACTGGGGATCTGGGGAAACTACAGGTTTTTCCTCATGGACCTGCTCCTCCAAGCAGCCCCAGCCTTGATGGATGCTGAAAGCAGGCAGTAGCTGAACAGCCATTTTTGTCTTGCATTGGTTCTGGTACCTGTGGTGCTTTTGGCTTGAGGCTGTTTCTGCACAACACCCTGCAGTTTGAGACAGGATATAGTTAGAGGCAGTAATTTTTAGATGCCTTCTTTTTTTAAAAAAGGTTTCTGAGATTATGAAAGGAAGCATTAAAAATAGCATTGTGTGGTGAGGCAGTCTTCCCAGCAGCTCCAGTGGGGTCTGCTGTGGCTCAGTTCGGTCCAGTGCGTCATCTTGAAGCATCATGCCCTTGGCATCCAAAACTAAAACAGATTTTATGTCATAACACCAAAGCAGTTATGATGACGTGCAAGACTTGTTAAAACATGATAGTGTGCAGTCATGTTAAATGGCACTGTTGTGGATGTGACTTCTGAAAGATTTGCCCAAGTGCCATTAACATTGTCTCCATTGTTTTTCTTTGAAGTCAGTCATATGGACATATGGCAGCTCCCTCCTGAACTCATATATCTAGGTATTAGAAGCAAAAAATTTCCATTGTACCTAGGAGCATTGATTTTTTTTCAATAGTAATATAAATTCGAAGTCAGGTTAAAGGCCTACCTTTAAAAAAAAAAAGAAAAAGAAAATAGGAGTTTTGAGTTGTCAGAAGCAGCAGCATGGGAGCAATACCTTCCATCTAACTGAAGGGAATTAGACAATAGTGTCTTCTTCATGTTGCAGATACAGAAAACCAAGAGGCAAGTGGGTCAGGTAAACAGATATTAATGAGATTGCTTCCTGAGTAATTCTGTCCCTTTCCCTTTTCCTGTGTCTTTGTGACAAGAAATAGTTGTTTTCCTGGGAAAGCAGGTTTGTGAACATGCCTTGACAGTACAGGGTTTTGCAAGCCATACCTAGTGCACTGTAACAGTGGGACCAGATAATCCTGACTTCAAAGCTGCACTTGAAATTCGATATTGGCAGTCCACCATTGTGTTAAGGATGAGAAGGAAACAAATATATTTAAGAAATGTTGCTCTGGCGTTGGCATATACAGATCTATTTGAGGTATAATCTCAAACTCTAGAGAGAGAGCCAGTTGAAGATGAGGTGCTTCTTTTGCACTGAGAGAAGTGGATGCTAAGCTGCAGGCTTTTGCTTACTAGACTGCCACAAGACAGGGAGGCTGAGTATGTGGATTGCTGAGCAGGTTTAGGCAGAACCAGGACCTCATGGGTGATGGGGAATGGGCACGGTGCACATGGAAATAGATGTTAGCAGGGCAAGTGTTGTGCTGTGAGCTGGGACATGGGGGAAAGCTTTTGAGCTCCCTGCTGCAGCCCTTCACAGGCCCAGGCACTGCAAAGGGGCCGTGCTGGATCATGCCTCACCTGTTTTTCAGAAGTTCAGGCCTGTTTATGGGATCTCTGACGGTATCCTTTAAAGGCAAACCTTAGAAGTGGTGTTGGCATTAAAATTTACATTGGACTTCCTGCCCCAGATTTGCCTGCTGACAGTGTCTTCTTCCCCCTCCTGCTCAGGCACATGAAGATTCATGAGAAGGATCCAAACAGCACAGCGAGCACCACTCCCCCCTCGCCGCTGAAGCGCAGGCGATTGTCTTCGAAACGGAAGTTCAGTCACGATGCTGAGCTGGACAGAGAGGAGAGGACACCTGCAAAAAAGGTTCTTTACAGGGCATGAAGCAAAAGATGTTCCTGGTTATCTCGTAAATTGTCAGCTGTTTGGTTTGTGCAGTCAGCACAGACTTGTTACAGCTCTGCATATGAGTTGCCGTGCTTATCCTGTGTAACTGATACAGTTGTCTGGGATTGAGAATTTCTAATTTCAGAGATGGAAATAATTCAATTTTTAAAGTTCTTTATTGTTTAAATTTTTGAATTTGCTTATGATTTATAAATAATTGCTCTTGGATGACAAGAGGATATACTGTTCTTTTGCTGCTGCAGCTTTTCCCCTAGCTTTTTTATTCTTGGAGAATGGTGATTTAAACTTTTAAAAAAACAATGTTTACTTCTAAAGCAGCAGCAGCTAAAGTCTGCTTTTGTCTAGATCTGGAGGCAAAAAAAATCTACAGTACATTTCCCTTTCACAGTAGCATAATCCTGCCTTATTGGAGTTGCAAGAGTGACCAGAAAATATTTAATTGAAGGCTAGACATTTCCATTAGGGTTCTATTTATGAAATATTTTAACACATATCAGTCATTTGTCCAAAATGTATGATGTCTGCCAAACTTGACTGTTTCCACTTACTATCTCTAAATGACAAGCTAGTAGCAGTTCCATTTAGCACAGTATCCCTTGCTCTGTGCATACTTTTCTCCCTCTAATCAGAAGAGAAGTATAGAAAACATGCAGAAGTTCATTGCTTCTCCCTGAACCACTTGACTTAGCAGTTGGCAGTATCTCAGTGGCATAAATAATTTAGGCTGACAGCTCCCCTGGCTCTCTGAAGGGGAGGAATGCTAGTTCACTGGTATATAAACACATGGGTTTATAAGTTCTTCAAGTCACAGTTCCTCATTAGAACTGATATATCTGTGACTCAGCCGCACACTTTATCTCCTGTTGAGCCTCTTTTTGTGTCATGCATGTTCTTACACATGTGCCGAGCCTCTGTTGCTTACCCTCTCTCCTGAGGAATGAGTCCTTTGTGTTTGCTTGAGCAAGGTTACACATGAAGCCTCCAATTTTTATAAGAGAAAGACTTTGAATGGATTGTAAATTCGGTGTGTTGCTTACAAGTTGGTCTAGTGAGGATTTGTTTTTCCCTTTTTCTGAAGGTTCTCGAGGATGGCCATTCTGGTGAAGGGGATAAGAGGGCTGACGATGAAGTTTATCATTGTCCAGTGTGTTTCAAAGACTTTTTTTGCAAGTATGGGCTGGAGTCCCACATGGAGACACATCCAGATAATTCATTGAGGTAAGAGATAGTACCCAGAGTGTCTTTGGTCACCAGAAGATGCCTGCTGCAGAGGGGTAGGAGCCCCTCAGCTCCCTGCACTCTTAACTGTCCCTCTTTGTGGTTTTGAATAGGTTTTAAAATGTTTTGCCTCATCTTGTGTCACCAGGGTATTGTAGGGCTTAATTTTATTATTTTTTTGCAAATACAGGAAATCTTGCCAGTTAATAGCTGGAAATGGTTTTAGAAAAAATTAAAGCCCCTCTTCTCCCTTTGAAACCCATCACTGTTACAGAAAACTGTAAAATGCCAACATTGCAAAACTTTTAACAAGATATACTGAAGATGTTTAAAACTTGATAAAAAAACTTGATAAAAGTATTCAGGTATCATCTTATGAGATTATTCTGTTTGTGGAGAAGGCAGCAGCTGGATAGAAAGGATTTTTCAATTTTTCAGTCATGGAATGACTGAGGGTAGATGAGTTCCTGATTTCAGGCTTTCAATAAAATGTTTTATGCTTTTCTGCCTTTTAGGCAGAGGTTAGGGAATGATGTGGATTTTGGCTTGAATGAGCTTTTCTTAACAAGGAAAAATTATTTATTAATTGTTTGGGAAGGTGCTTGAATGTTGTGTTTTGATTCAAGTAATTGCCTCTGAGACTCCTGAAATTGTTTTACTTCCTGTTTTTTACCATAGAAAAATGTAGAGCCAGATACATGAAGATATAAAAGAAATATTTCAAGTCTAGTTGAAACATGTAGAAAAGCTGCCATTTTAGGAAAGTCCATTTGCAGAAGCTTGTCAATATTTTAAACTTATTTTGAGACATTGGACCATAATGATCTTTTTGGGAGGGTGAAGAATTCAGCATCTTGAAGTGTCAACACTCCCTCCTCGATACAGGTTCTTAATAGAATGGCATGCAGCAGGCGCATCCCATTCTATTAAACGGGATTAATTCTATTAAATTTTCCCTTTTTAAAATTTTTATTTAGAAAACCTTGGTAAATGCTCGGTAACATACTTTTTAAAGGCATTGTTAATGTTGCAGTTATTGGGGAAAGGAGTTGAAAGCTTGGTCCATTCAGGAGTAGCTAATTAAACATACTTTGCTGTTTCTGAAGTAAATGAGGTAAATTTTCATTATAGATCAAAGCTGAAACAGTTGTTCTCCAGTAAGAGCTGTGCAACCCCCACAAAATGGAGTCTGGAACAATTTCTCCTTACACTTCATGCTTTAGAGAAAGTGGCTGATATACTAGGTTTATCCTGGCATTACCCACATTTTGAAGCTTTTCTGAAAATATGACCTCTTTGCAAAGTTTTATTCCATGGACCTGAGTGGAGAGGTGGATTTTCTTGCTTTGAATGATGGATATAAGATAATGAAACAGATATCCTTCTTGCTTGGCAGCTTTGCAGTCTGCTGTGGCAAGGCAGCAAGACACAGTGGCTGTGCAAACATGCTGTTCTTCTTTATGCAGGTCTTGCTCAAGTATTAGGCTTTGGGATAATATTCTTCTGAAATGGATTTTGTTACCTTTGATTCTGTTGAGCAGCAAAGACTACTAGAATGTGTCCCTAAATCAAAGTCACAATTGTCAAGTCCGTGGGTATGATTTAAGAGTGGTACTGGGATGCTTATCTTTATAGAATTGTCTAAGTAAGGGAGGTTTTGTCAGGTATTTGCCTCAGCCATTTAAGACGTGTCAGTGAAGACAGGACAAGGAAGATGTGGTCTTCTCTGGGCAGCTAGTATATTAAGGTGCAACTTACTCTGCCCATCTGGTTTAAACCACGCCTTTTGTCCTAGTCTAGACAAGTCAAATGACACTGTCTGACTGGCCCAACCTAACAGAAAATCCTGTAGTAAGCAGAGCAATTTGGAATGCTGTTAAGGTGGCTCTTTCATCCAAACGAAAAGGGTTAAAATCCCTGGCCAGCAGGGGCTGTAATCCCCTGATTCCCAGAGTTCTGCAAGACTGTTTGTAGGATTCAACAAGACACAGAATGTAGCATGCCTTTCTCAGTCCTGAGTAGAGGTGATTGAAGTCCTTTTGGTGAGGCTTAAGGGTGTTTTTTGAGTGAAAGAGACGAAGAAAAGAGAATATATTGCTAAGGTCGTAGAGCATGAGACCTGTGTATATGGGTGTACTTGCGGCAGGGAAGCAAACTGCTGAATGTTGAAGAGTTTCATCAAATCCTGGTGTTGCCTTATTGTAGAAGACAAGGGGAAATAACTCTTGTTGAAGTTCAGACAAACAAAAAAGCACAGTAACTGTGTTGTGAGCAAAGGGCAGGGAGTGTAACACCCTCGGTCTCCTTTTATTGCCCGTATTGTAAAAGCAGAGTCACTTGCTGAGGACCTGTGAGGAAGGTATCCGATGTGTATCCCAGAGTCAGATACTCTGCGTCTGGTCCTTCATTTGGAGCTACTGCAGTAGGCAGTAGCCCAGCAGAGAGTGTTTTGTCATGATCAAAAATAAATGGTGCTCAGTCTGCCTAGCCAAGGCTTTTCGTTGTAAGGGCGCAGGTCAAACATCCAATTCCTTTTTGCTCCCCTAACTGCTATGAAAAGGATTGCAAACTGGCTCTGAAGCAGTGCACCAGTTGCACTGCCTCGATGGTGGCACCAGCCTTCCTTCAGGGGTGCATCCGCGGCCGTGGCAAGGTGCCAGGGTGGGCAGGAGCTTCTACCTGGCTTCCCTGTGGTCCTTTAATCCTGCCATTTCAGTGCTGCTGTGAGAATACAGCCTCTTGCCCCCAGAGCTGTCTGAGTCTGTGTGTCCCGGCCACCCTCTGCTAAGTAGCAGAAAAGGTAAGGCAGTCTGGCAGCCCTGGGATCAGTATGTGAGCAGCTAATTTACAGGGTGGGCCGTCACCCTTCCAGATACTGTCAAATGAACAGCTTTAAATCACAGGGTTAGCTGTTCAAAGTCAGATGAAAAGACACTTCCCATTGTCTTGCCCAGAACTGCTTTTTCATGTAAAACCCCGAGCAGGGAGCACCTCATTGTTTACTTGCAGCAGAATAAACAATACTTAATCCACTGATTGTGTGAGAGGGGCTCCCGCTTGGGAGAGTATCTCTTGATTATGTAAAATCCTAAATCGTGCATCTTTGTCTCCTAATTACGGTAAGAACTGGCCTGGTCTTGCGAGCAATAATAGGGCCCTTTGTCCCATTGACAATGGGCTGTGGCACTGCATCTCCTTCAAGGCATTACACCCCCTGGTCAGTCTCTGTCTCTTTGAAGCCCTGGGTCCTGCACCCTAATTAATGACATGAACTGGCCCGGGCAAGGTTGTCTGCAGTGTCCATTAGCAATAGGAGGTGGCCCAGGGGTGCTTTCTGACCCCCTTGGCCTCTTTACCTGGATTATTTAAAGAAGTCTGCTTCCCTGCAGCTGGGGCCTCAGAACATTGTCTATTTTGGTGAGTTTGTATCTGAGTGTTGATATAATTAGCAGAGAGCTGGAGCGCTGCACAGCCAGTAGGGAAAATGAGAAACCTCACGGAGCAGGGGAGTTTCTCTGGAAACTTTTGTGGTGCAGGGTTGCTGTCAAACGTGAAACTGTGCTTGTAAAGGTCACCTGACAGCTCTGAGCAACGTCAGCAGTGTAAGCAGAGGAGATGGGAGGATTTCCCGGGGAGAAACCTCTCCAGATGCTATGCTGGGTTTCTCCTCTTTCCTTTGGCAAATACAATGGAACAGGCTTAAAGTAAAACGTAAGAAAAGTAAAGTAAAGTTAAACTTTTTTTTAAAAGTACATGAACTATAAAATTATTCTCTTGGATTTCACTGTAGCCACAGCATACCCTTTATGTTTCTTCTCCTTCTCATCCAGGAGGTTTAGTGCAGTATGCTGTACCAAGAACTAAAGTATTTTTCATTTTTCCTTCCTCACAGCAGCAAAGAGACCTTTATGTTGCGAGAGGAGAGGAGAGGAGAGGAGAGGAGAGGAGAGGAGAGGAGA